CCTCTCTATTTCTGTCTACAACATGGGCAAAGGAGTGGATAAAAAAGCTGTGGTACATTTACACCACGGAATACTGTCAGTGAAAAAAGAAGAATCTCTTACCCTTTGAGACAGCATGGAGGGACTTGGAGAGTATCATGCTACATGAAATAAGCCAGTCAGAGAAAGACAAGTATCACATGATCTCACTCATATGTGGAATCTAATTAACAAAATAAACTGATGAACAGAGTGGATCCAGAGACATGGAATCATGGAACAGAGTGTGGAATCTAGGGGGGAAGGTGGGTGGGACGTAATGAACCAAAGAACTTGTGTACATATACATATACAGTATATATAACCCGTGTACACAGACAATAGAGTGGTGAAGGCCTTGGGCAGGGGTGGGGGTTGGAGGGGGTCAATGGGGAGAAAAAGGAGGCATCTGAAATACTTTGAACAATAAAGAATTACTTAAAAAATTGTATTTTATTTTATTTTTTAAATATATTTTATTGATTTTTTTACAGAGAAGAAGGGGGAGGGATAGAGAGTTAGAAACATCAATGAGAGAGAAACATTGATCAGCTGCCTCCTGCACACCCCCTACTAGGGATGTGCCCGCAACCAAGGTACATGGCCTTGACAGGAATCGAACCTAGGACCTTTCAGTCCACAGGCCAATGCTCTACCCACTGAGCCAAACCAGTTAGGGCTAATTTTTTTTTTTAATTTAAAAAAAAAACCCCACACAGGATGTCTATACGTAGGTAAGAGGTTGAAACCTCTTACCACAGAGGTATTATCACACATGCATGCAGACTCTGAAAAGAAGAAACTAGCAACTGAAACAAAGGCTGGAATTAAGGTATGTGTTAATCATCCTCGGAGAACAAGGATATAAACCGATAGGGACATGTTTATGTTCTTGGGAAGGAGGCTAAGGGGAGGCTAATATTTCAAAGGTTTGCTATAAGTGGTAATTTTTTTTTAATCTTTGTATGTCCCAGCTTACGCAAATCCTGCATGTCTTAGTGGCTGCCTATGGCTCTGGCTGAGGGAACTGTGTTTGTAAAATATATTTGGGGAACAACTGTAATAGGAATCGAATCTGGGACCCCTTAGTCCGCAGGCCAACCCATACTCCACTGAGCCAAACCGGCTAGGGCAAAATTAATATCTTTAAAAATGGCTATCTTGCTTGGAATTTCAAATTAGAGAAAGGTGTCATAGTGAATAGGGATTTCTGAGTGTTCAGCAATCAAATGCCTTGAAAAATAGTAAGTGTAGATTGAAATTACTTTGAATGAATATATCAATTTGAGAAAAAATTATTTTTTTCTAATGAATTTATTGGAGTTGCATTGGTCAATAAAATTATACAATCAAACCAGTTCTCAAACATCTCCCATTTCAAACAATTGGGTTCTTGACCAAGTTATTCATGGAGAACATATCTTGGTTATTGGAATAAATTTCAGTTCTCAACCTGACAACCTTTTCAGGCTGATACAGCAGCATGATAAAAAAAACATCTCTCAGGCCACAAAGGAGAAAATACAATATGAGTCAGGTTACCTTAAATCTCACCTTGTTAAGATCTCAGGAAATTGTGCTGTGTTTAAAAAATAATAAAATAAAATATCTTTGGGGTAAATACTTAATATCTTTAAAGTTTTTTATTTTTAATATATTTTATTGATTTTTTTACAGAGAGGAAAGGAGAGGGATAGTTAGAAACATCGATAAGAGAGAAACATTGATCAGCTGCCTCCTGCATACCCCCTACTGGGGATGTGCCTGCAACCAAGGTACATGCCCTTGACTGGAATCGAATCTGGGACCCCTTAGTCCGCAGGCCAAAGCATACTCCACTGAGCCAAACCGGCTAGGGCAAAATTAATATCTTTAAAAATGGCTATCTTGCTTGGAATTTCAAATTAGAGAAAGGTGTCATAGTGAATAGGGATTTCTGAGTGTTCAGCAATCAAATGCCTTGAAAAATAGTAAGTGTAGATTGAAATTACTTTGAATGAATATATCAATTTGAGAAAAAATTATTTTTTTCTAATGAATTTATTGGAGTTGCATTGGTCAATAAAATTATACAATCAAACCAGTTCTCAAACATCTCCCATTTCAAACAATTGGGTTCTTGACCAAGTTATTCATGGAGAACATATCTTGGTTATTGGAATAAATTTCAGTTCTCAACCTGACAACCTTTTCAGGCTGATACAGCAGCATGATAAAAAAAAAAACATCTCTCAGGCCACAAAGGAGAAAATACAATATGAGTCAGGTTACCTTAAATCTCACCTTGTTAAGATCTCAGGAAATTGTGCTGTGAATTTTCCCCCCTGTGGTTGCTATTGAAATAGACAATTAGCACAATTTTAAAATATAAAGAGGCTATCAAGAGTGCTAATTTCGGTACAGGTGTGAAAGCGTTCATGAAACACTTGAACAGGCAATTGAACAGGTAGAGAAGTTATTGATTTGGATAAATGAAAGGAAGTCAGCTAGTGACAGCATTTCAGAGGCAATGGTATGTGAAAAAGTGAAGATGCTGCATTTGACCTCCTGAAAGACACCCTTGGAATGAGTGCTGAAAGTGATTTAAGGCTTGTAGGGGATGGTTTGATAAATTAAGAAAAGAATTGTGGCCGAAACCGGTTTGGCTCAGTGGATAGAGCGTCGGCCTGCGGACTGAAAGGTCCCAGGTTCGATTCCGGTCAAGGGCATGTACCTTGGTTGCGGGTACATCCCCAGTGGGAGATGTGCAGGAGGCAGCTGATTGATGTTTCTAACTCTCTATCTCTCTCCCTTCCTCTCTTTAAAAAAAATCAATAAAATATATTTTTTTAAAAAAGAATTGGTTTGCTTATAGATTAAACAGTACATTAAACATGTACTTTATACAAGAAAGGTGAAAACAATCATTTGGAGGTCTGGAACAAATTAATTCAATTTTCATTATTTCTAATGAGGAAAAAATGATTTAGTTTTTGAACAAATTGCTTCTCTAACAGCCTTCTGGAATGAATTAAGTTTGAGAACCAAGGTTCCACTGTGTAGGTATCAAGTGTACCATCTATAGTACATTGTCTGCACGTTGCACTGTGCACTTTGCATATAAAGTCTAGTCTCCTTTTTTCTTTATTTTTTAAAAATATATATTTCTTTATTGATTTCAGAGAGGAAGGGAGAAGGAGAGATAGAAACATTAATGACAAGAGAGAATCATTGATCGGGGATTGAGCCCACAACCCAGGCATGTGCCCTTAACCAGAATCGAACCTGGGACCCTTCAGTACGCAGGCTGACGCTTTATCCACTGAGCCGAGCCAGCTAGGGCATTCCCTTTTTTCATTATGAATCCCCTTTACCCTCTTCCATCTATCCCTACACACACCCCCCACCCCCGCTTCCCCTAGTAATCACCATACTGTGGTCTGTGTCTATGAGCCTTTTTTTCCCCTTAATTCCTTTACCTATTTCACTCACCCCTCCAGCCCTCTCCCCTCTGACAGCTGTCAGTGTGTTCTCCATATCTATGAGTCTGTTTCTATTTTGTTCATTAGATTTCACATATAAGTGAAATGATATGGTATTTGTCTTTCTCTGACTGGCTTATTTCACATAGCATAATACCATTTAGGTTCATCCAGGCTGTTGCAAAAGGTAAAATTTCCTTTTTTACAGCAGACTAGTATTCCATTGTTTAAATGTACCACAGCTTTTTAATCTACTGATGGGCACTTGGGCTGCTTCCAAAACTTGGCTGTTGTAACTAGCACTGCAATGAACATAGGAGGGGTCACATATTCTTCCAATTAGTGTGTCAGCTTTCTTTGAATATATTCCCAGAAGGCGAATCACTGGGTCAAGGCAGTTTCATTTTTAATTTTTTAAAGAACCTCCACACTGTTTTCTACAGTGGCTGTATCAGCCTGCATTCCCACCAACAGTGTATGAGGGTTCCCTTTTCTCCACATCCTGGCCAGCATTTGTGGATTCTTTAATCATAGCCATTCTGACAGGTGTGAGGCAATATCTCATAGTTTTAATTTGCATTTCTCTGATGATTAGTGACATTGAGCGTCTTTTCATATGTCTATTGGCAATCTGTACGTCCTCTTTGGAGAAGTGTCTGCTCAGGTCCTTTGCCCATTTTTTAATTGGATTGTTTGTTTTTTTGGTGTTGAGTTTTTTATAAATTTTTGATATTAACCCCTTATCAATGCATCATTGGCAAATATGTTATCCCATTCAGTGGGTTGTTTTTCATGTTGTTGATCATTTCCTTTGCTGTGCAAAAGCTTTTTAGTTTGATATAGTCTCATTTGTTTGTGGGGGATTTTTTTCTTTTGTTTCCCTTGCCCAAGGAGATATATCACACAAAAAAAATTGCTACAAAAAATTTGCAGAGAGAGGGGGGTCTTTGGTATCTCATCCTTTTCTTATGAGGACATAGTTTAATCAGATCAGGGTACCACTCATAGGACCTCTTTTAACCTTCATTACCTTTCTAAAGCCTTATCTCCGAATAACATCACATTGGGGATTAGGGCTTCAGTATCTGACTTTCGGGGTGGACACACATCAGTCCATAACATTCTGCCCTCTTGCCTCACAAAATTCATGTCCTTCTCATATGTAAAATACATCCACTCCATTTCAACATCCTCTACAATCTTAACCCATTCCGGCATCAAAAGCTTCATCTAGATATCATCTAAATCAGGTCTGTGTGAAACTGAACTATGATTCATTTTGAATTCTTGAGAGAGAAGCAAGAACGTTTAGTCTGAAACAGGGCTTTAAGACTTCAATATATGAGTTGGGAGTTGGAGGTGGGGGCGCATTCAGTCTGTACTTTTGAATTAAAATATTTTTAAAGTTGAATTTCTCTTAGGTACCTCTGTGACCAGGTCCTCCTTCCTTGATGGATTATACACTCGAACCCAACATGACAACAAGTGACTACTACTACCCGGATATCTTCTCAAGCCCCTGTGATGGGGAAGTTATCCAGAGAGAAAGCAAGTTGCTTCTTGCCATCTTTTACTGCCTCCTGTTCGTGTTTGGTCTTCTGGGAAACAGCGTGGTCATTCTGGTCCTTGTCATCTGCAAGAAGCTGAAGAGCATCACAGACATCTACCTCTTGAACCTGGCCCTGTCTGACCTGCTTTTTGTCTTCTCCTTCCCCTTTCAGACTCACTATCAGCTCGACCAGTGGGTGTTTGGGACTGTTATGTGCAAGGTAGTCTCTGGCTTTTATTACATTGGCTTCTTCAGCAGCATGTTCTTTATCACCCTCATGAGCGTGGACAGGTACCTGGCAATTGTCCATGCTGTGTATGCCATGAACGTGAGGACAGCCAGAATGGGCACAGCCCTGAGCCTGGGAGTCTGGCTGATCGCCATCATGGCCACCAGCCCACTGCTAGTATTTTACCAGGTGGCCTCTGAAGATGGCGTCCTCCAGTGTTATTTGTCTTACAATCACCAGACTTTAAAGTGGAAGCTCTTCACCCACTTTGAAATAAATATCTTAGGCCTGCTGATCCCATTCACCATCCTAATGTTTTGCTACATTAGCATCCTGCACCAGCTCAAGAGTTGCCAGAACCACAACAAGACCAAGGCCATCCAGTTGGTACTCATCGTGGTGATTGCATCTTTAGTCTTCTGGGTCCCCTTCAATGCGGTCCTCTTCCTCACTTCCCTGCATGACCTGCACGTCTTGGACGGATGTGCCATGAGCCAGCAGCTGATGTATGCCACCCATGTCACAGAGATCATTTCCTTCACTCACTGCTGCGTGAACCCTGTTATTTATGCTTTCGTGGGTGAGAAGTTCAAGAAACACCTCTCAGAAATATTTCAGAAAAGTTGCAACCACGTCTTCCTCTTCTTGGGAAGGCCAATCATCAAGGATATGGGGGAGAAACCATCCTCCTCCTACCAGCACTCCACCCGTTCCTCCAGCATAGACTACATTTTGTGAGGATCTCTGCTTTCCCAGCCACTCCTCTTCCAAAGGACAAAAATGGTTTATACTGGGGTCTGAGTATCCTTTTAGTCTTAGAAATCTGGTTATAGACACAAGATATATTTCACATTAAACTTGTATTAGTAGGGATGTATTGAAGTTGTATATAGGAAACCCTTTCTCAAAAACACTTTCAAGTGCTGTTATAATTCTGATTTCAATACTTTTGCATACAAAATAAAAGTATTTTGTTTTGAGTGACTGAAGTTTCTGGGGTAAAATGACTGGGCTTGTATAGCAGGGATCCAAAGGAGGGTAAAATTAATCAGGGCGAATTTTATTTTGTTATTTTTTTTTTAGCTGTGGAATTTTAGGCAACTTACTTTAAATGCTTCAGTTAGTTTCCTTACATGTAAAATACATACCTTTGATTTATGTGAGAGGATCATACAGGGTTACGAAGCTGTGTTCTGATGCCACCTACCTGCCATTCAGTAGCTGACAGTGACAAGAGTCGCCTGCAGTAGAAGAGCTGGAGCTTAGTTCTGTATGCGTTTGGTTATATGTGTCATATGTTAAGAATATGTCAAGGGAAGACTGAAGAACTATTCCAGGTTGAAGGAGACTAAAGAGACATGACCGCTAACAAGTATATAATCCTAAATTGGATTCTAAATCCGGGGGGAAGTGCTGTGAAGGACAGTTTGGGTACAGTTGGTAAAATCTGAATTTGATCTATATATGCGATAACCCAAGTATGAAAGTATCAGAAGAGATAAAACAGAGAAACACCGCCCTGACCGGTTTGGTTCAGTGGATAGAGCGTCAGCCTGCGGACTGAAAGGTTCCAGGTTTCATTCCAGTCAAGGGCATGTACCTTGCTTGCGGACACATCCCCAGTAGAGGGTGTGCAGGAAGCAGTTGATCGATGTTTCTAACTCTCTATCCCTCTCCCTTCCTTTCTGTAAAAAATCAAAAAAATAAACACACACACACAAAAAAAGAAACACTTAGAACAGCAACAGGTACAACAGTGAATGTTACCTGTTATTACTTACTAGGAAGTAAGCCCCATGAGGGCATCAACGTCATCTGCTTTATTCACTGCTGTATCCCCAGAGCCTGGAATAGCCCCCAAAACAACATTCCTCCGGAAGTACCAACCATGCTCCCGGGTAGGGGGGAGGGGGAGGGAAACGGCGGGTCCTGCAGTTCCGATGTCTTCACCAGGTGGCAGTAAGGAGCGCGCCCTCACCTGCTCCAGGCCAGCCTCCGAACCCGGAAGTTAAATCCCCGGGCTCTTTCTAGTTCCTCCAGCCTTCTCCGCCCCTGATACATTGAGCCGAATCCTCTCCAGCCCTGAAGTCTGGGCAGGATGTGCCGGAGGGCAGAGCCGCGGTGTCTGCCCAGTGAGTGAGAAGCTGCCCGTGGTTCCCGGGCGCAGGCTCGCTCGCCAGCCCGGAGCCACGCGCGCAGCCCGGGACCCCGCAG